TATCTAATCATCTATCATCTAATCTATATATATAAAACTATCATCTATTTATCATCTACATCTCTAATCTGTCATCTCTTATCTATTCTAATGTATCAATTATCATCTAATCTATATCTCTATATAAATATCATCTATATCTATCTCTTATCTATATCTGTCATTATCTCTAATCTATTGTGTATCTTATCTATCTAATCATCTATCATCTAATCTATATATATAAAACTATCATCTATTTATCATCTACATCTCTAATCTGTCATCTCTCTTATCTTTTCTAATGAATTATCATCTAATCTATATCTCTATATAACAATCTATATCTCTTATCTATATCTATCGTCTCTATCTAATCTGTGTATCTTATCTTATCTAATCATCTATCGTCTAATCTATATATAACATCTATTTATCATCTATATTTCTGATCTGTCATCCCTCTTATCTATTCTAATCTATCATTTGTCTAATCTATATCTCTATATAACTATCATCTATATATCTCTTATCTATATCATCTCTATCTGTATCTAATCTATATCTAATTTATCATGTATCTTATCTAATTTATCATGTATCTTATCTAATCATCGAATCTACATACATAAAACTATCATCTATATCTAATCTGTCATCTATTCTAATCTATCATTTATTGTCTATATCTCTATATAGCTATCATCTATATCTCTTATCTATATCATCTCTATCTGTATCTAATCTATATCTAATCTATCGTATATGTAATCATCTATCATCTGTCTTTGTCCATCCATCCATTTCATCCACCTGTTTATATTATTTCTCTATCATTATCCATCCATCTCTCTCTATTATTTCTCTATGTCTATTTTATCTATCTATGTCTATCTGTCTATATCTTTCTATATGATCTATCTTTACCTGCCTATTTATCATTTATTATCTACCACCCATCCATCTCTCTTATTTCTCTATATATCTGTTTGTCTCCATCCTTCTCTATCTGTCATCTATCTATACCTTATATCTGTTATTTATTGTCTACCATCCATCCATCATCTATTATTTATGTGTGACTGGCTATGTCAGGGGTCTTCAAACTTGGCCCTTTTATGACTTGTGGACTTCAACTCCTAGAATTCCCCAGCTGAGGAATTCTGGGAGTTGAAGTCCACAAGTCATAAAAGGGCTGAGGAATTCTGGGAGTTGAAGTCCACAAGTCATAAAAGGGCCAAGTTTGAAGACCCCTGAGTTAAATCAAAAGCATTTAGGGATGCTGAAAGACTAGAGGGCTCTTGCAGCCTGGGGGATGAAAACTTTGAACATTCTCTTCTGGGCTCTCCGCTAGATTTGAGATGATGGAAGAAATAAAGCATAAAAATTACGATCTCACATTGGGGGAAACGGCGAAGCTGAGGAAGAAAGCTGAGCAAGAGGAGCATCAACATCTCATGGCCTTGAACGATGCCGAAAATAAGCGTTTACTCGAGCGGAGGTAAAAACAATGCACGCCTGCCTCATTCCACACATTAGACAGAATCACGGTCAGGAGAAGTGATAGTACTTCCCTCTACTGCACTGGTGAGGCCACACTTGGAATACGGCATCCAGTTTTGGTCACCACGATGTAAAACAGATGTTGAGACTCTGGAAAGAGTACAGAGAAGAGCAACAAAGATGATCAGGGGACTGGAGGCTAAAACATATAAGGAACGGTGGTTAGAATTGGGTATGTCTAGTTTAATGAAGAGAAGGACGAGGGGGGACAGGATAGCAGTCTTCCAGTATCTCAGGGGCTACCCCAAAGAAGAGGGAGTCAAGCTATTCTCCAAAGCACCTGAAGGCAGGACAAGAAGCAACGGATGGGAACTAACCAAGGAGAGAAGCAACCTAGAACTAAGGAGAAACTTCCTTAGTTAGAACAATTGATTAGTGCAGGGGTAGGCAATCTTGGCTCTTTTATGACTCATGAACTTCAAGTCCCATAATTCCTGAGCCAGCACGGCTCAGCTTGGAAACCTCTCCCTTTCCCCTCAGCATGGCTGGCTCAGGAATTCTGGGAGTTGAAGTCCACGAGTCATAAAAGAGCCAAGGTTGCCTACCCCTGGATTAGTGGGTTAGTGGAATAGCTAGTCTCTTCCTCCATCACTAGAGGTTTTCAAAACTAGATTGGGCAACCCTTTGACTGGGATGGTATAAGAAGGACTCCTGCCTTGAGCATGGGGTTGGACTAGAAGACCTCCAGGGTTCCTTCCCAGCCCTAGGATTCTATGATTCCGGCCCCTGGCGAGAAAAGGAGAAGAGAATATGTATTTCTCACATTTCTTCCCTCTTTCCCGCGCTAGGATGGAGCGTCTCCGGAAGGAGGAAATACAGGAGAAAGTCCGCAAGCTACAAATTGACCAAAACAGGGTGTCCCTTCAGGAGGAATTCCTCAAGGAGAAAGAGATGGAAGTGCTTCGCTTACAGGTAGGAAAGCCCCAAGGCTCCAGTCCGTCATCTTCGCCGGAGCTTCGTACAGGCATCCCTCGACTTAACGACCACAATCAATCCCTGAATTTTTGTTGCTAAGCGAGACACTCGTGAAGTGAGTTTTGCCCCATTCCACGACCTTTCTTGCCCCCGTTCTTAAGCGAATCACTGCAGTTGTTAAATGAGTAGGACGGTCGTTGAATGAATCTGGCTTCCCCATTTGACTTTGCTCCCCAGAAGGGTCACATAAGGGGGACATAAACGACCCCTGGGCGCACTGCGACCGTTATACAGTAGTGACCAAAATGGTGGAAACCTTTTGGGAAAGGTGTACAGTAGAAATGCCACCTTTGGTTAAGTTTCCACCCATTTTTCTTCTCATTTCTTTATAACTGTAGCCTTGTTCACTTAATAATCCTATTTTACATCGCTTTCCGGGCAACCAGTCAACTCTTTGAATCATTACTTTAATTTTATTACGTTTTGCAAGCTCACTAAGTGAAAGAACACAAAAAACCCCAACCGACTTGATAGCCATCACATAACACACTGACAAATGTCCTCCTCTCAGCTTCAATACTTGACATCAAGAACTGGATCCTACTGTGATCTGATTGGCTCATGGCCAAAACAAGATGATACCCGATTGGCTCTCTAAACCCTCATGCTCATTGGCTACAATCAGAGGAAGGAAAGCTACCTGAGATCCACCTGAGCAAGTTGTGCTTCCTTTTTCTGGTTCTTTGGCTGTAACTTTTCCTAGAATACAGTACAGATAATTGAACAAACTTTGTCGCCTTACATTCTTGATTAAATTATCTTTCCATTGATATATAATTTTATGGTAATACTCCCCCAAAAAAGTGGTGTTATTAGCCATCAAACCTCAAAAATACACTTTCCCCAAAAGGTTTCCACAATGTTGGCCACTACTGTAAATATGAGTAAGTTGCTGGGTGTCTGAATTTTGATCACCTGACCAACGGTGTTAAGTGTGAAAAAAACGGCCATAAAAGTGGTTTTTTTGCAGTGCTGTTGCGACTTCGGTCACGAAATGAACTGTTGAAGGCCGAGGACCGCCTGTAGTCCGTTTTAAACGTTAGTTGTTGTTTTAATGTTTTATCTTGTTGTTTTTCCTTTGGTTGGAAGCCGCCGAGCGTTGCTTCTTGGCGAAATGGGCAGCATACAAATTTAATAAATATATAAGCTCTCCTTCAGGTCCCATCTTAAAGGTCAACAGTCCGGCCAGCGAACCCAACAAAAGGAATCCTCAAGGCCGTCGAGTCCCAGCAAGCACAGCTTTATTGGGTACAGCATCTTGGAACTGAAGAAGCAAAACCAGCTCCCGAGTTTTTACAGCGCGAAAGCTTGCTTAGTTAAACATCAGATTCCCATGCCCCCACCCACCGGGCGTTCACATGGTTCAGTGATAATATTTCTTTTTGTTACGGGAACAGTTCACTTCTCCATCGATCACCTGCGTCAGTGACCTTGGCCATGTATTCAAGATGGACAGTGATTAATGTTTATATGTTACTTACTTGTAAGGGTGTAGGTCAGGGGTAGGCAACCTTGGCTCTTTTATGACTGGTGGACTTCAACTCCCAGAGTTCCTGAGCCAGCCATGCTGAGGGGAAAGGGAGAGGGTTCCAAGCTGAGCCATGCTGGCTCAGGAATTCTGGGAGTTGAAGTCCATGAGTCATGAAGGGCCCATAGTTCCCCCATGCTGGCTCAGGGATTCTGGGAGTTGAAGTCCACGAGTCATAAAAGAGCCAAGGTTGTCTACCCCTGGTGTAGGTCTATACTACTACTATTACTACTACTACATGATGATGATGATGATGATGATGATGATGATGATGATGATGATGATGATGATGATGATGAAGATAATAAAGTTGGAAGGGACCTTGGAGGTCTTCTAGTCCAGGGCTTTTCAACCAGTGGTACAGGTACCACCTGTGGTACATTGGCACCTGGCAGGTGGTATGCGACCATCCTAGAAAAGTGGTAGCAGGGGAGTGGAATGAGCTGAACCGGTGGCAGCAGCGCACAAGCCTGAGCGAGAGACGGCTGGAGCTGCAGGGCTGTCAGGGCTCAGCGGAAGCGCCAGGATCAGTGCCGCTTTCCAGCTGATCGGAGCTTCTTCGGGGCTGTCAGGGCTCAGCGGAAGTGCCAGGATCAGTGCCAGGCTCCAGCTGGAGCTCGGTGCTGATCCTGGCGCTTCCGCTGAGCCCAGAAGAAGCGCCGATCAGCTGGAATGTTGCAGCATCTCCAGGGTCTTGTGATTTACATTCAGATGCTTGGCAACTGATTCATATTTATGACGGTCACAGTGTCCCAGGGTCCTGTGAAGTGACCAAAACCTGCTGCAACCACCCAGCAGACGGGATAAAAACCAAACACCCCCCCACCCCACCCCCACTGCCTATCCTCAACAGAAATGCTCACAACAATGAAAACCTCGGACAGGAGGAAGAGCGCCGCCGGGCGGGCAGGCAGGCGTCTTGCTCGGCTGTGGCTCGGGGGGCACTTTTTTCAGTGCCATTGTAACTTCGAAAAGTCACTAAGCAAACTGTTGTAAGTTGAGGACTACCTGTACTTTATCACTTTTTTCCTTTTTTGGGGGGGGGGTCATCAAGTTTTTGATACCTTGCTAGGCGACTGGTGGTACTCGGATGTTGCCATATCCTAAAAGTGGTACAATGGGTGAAAAGGTTGAAAAGCCCTGTTCTAGTCCAACCCCCTGCTCAGGCAGGAAACCCTATACCATTTCAGACCAATGGCTGTCCAGTCTCTTTTTAAAAACTTCCAGTGTTGGAGCATTTATGGCTTCTGGAGGCAGGTTGTTCCACGGGTTAATTGTTCTAATGGTCAGGAAGTTTCTCCTTAGTTCTAGGTTGCTTCTCTCCTTGGTTAGTTTCCATCCGTTGCTTCTTCTCCTGCTTTCAAGGCGCTTTGGAGAATAGTTTGGCTCCCTCTTCTTTGGGGCAGCCCCTGAGATACTGGAAGACTGCTATCCTGTCTCCCCTCATCCTTCTCTTCATTAGACTAGACATCCCCAATTCCAGCAACCGTTCCTTACATACAGCTTGACTTAATCTGAGTTTGTTAGCCGCCCTTTTGCAAACGACGGCTTCAAATTAGAGGGAGGGTTAGAAGATTGCTTTTACAGTTTGTGTATTGGGTTTGTATTTATTTATTTATTTTGTAAGCCACCCAGGGAGTGAAAGAGAGCTGTCATTCTGCAATTAAATACATTTTATTAGGCCGTCTCTTAATTTCTCGTGAGGCCGAGCATGAAGCATAACCTTAGCGACACGCTCCAGTGTCGTTTAGCTTTGATCTCATCCTTGCTTTCTCCTTTCTGTCGATCCAGGAAGAATCCAGGAACTTCATCACTCTTGAAAACCTGGACCAGCGGATCGAGGAGTGCCTGAGCAAGACCCAGAATTACAATTTCGCCATCGACAAAGACGGGAGGATAGTTAAGAGGACATCCATGCCGTAACCAGCTCTCGGAGGGAGGGGGCCTTTCCATCCAGATCCGAGGTTTGCCGGGAGCGATTGAGGGATGGCATACGCTCCACCCCATCAGCATCACTACCCTCAAAACAGGGAGTGGCAGATAATTCATGCTGTCCAAACTGGGCGAATCTGGTTTTGCAACCTTTTGCAGGAAGAAAATGGATCTTCTTCCGAGATTTTGGGGTTTTTTTTTGGCATCTCATCCTCAGTCGTTCCTGCGTTTTTAAGAACTCCGTTCAGCTTTTGATCCTGTTTCCGTATGCGTGCAACCAATTTGCTCCTCAGTCTTTTTTTTTTTTTGAAAAACCATTGACCTATTTGCTAGGTTTCTCCGGATTGCTCGGAAATTAAACGCAATATTTTATTTTCTGGCTCTTGAGATGTTTATTTCTGCTCGTCTTGTTTTTCAGCACCCACCTGGGGGCTTGGGATGATGAATTCCTAAGCCATTTGGGACAGTAACGATCAATGCCAACCCATAAAACTTGTGCCTGCTACACAACTGGTAACTCACACAGATTTTTTCAGAACAGGTAGACTTACAGCCATTCTTTTAAAGTTACAGCGGCACAAAAAACAGCAACTTAGGAACGTTTTTCACGCGACCGTTAACAGCATCCCCGTGGCTCACGCAATCCAAACTTGGATGCTTGGCGCTGGTTGCAAAGTCAACGGGGAATCCAGAATCACTTAACAACCCTGTTACTACAGTAGTGGCCAAAATTGTGGAAACCTTTTGGGGAAAGTATATTTTTGATGTTTGGCGGCTAATAAAAAGGGGAAGTAGTACCATAAAATTATATATCGACGGAAAGATAATTTAATCAAGAAGGTAATGCAACAAAGTTGGTTCAATTATCTGTACTGTATTCTATGAAAAGTTATAGCCAAAGAACCAGAAAAAGGAAGCACAACTTGCTTAGGTGGATCTCAGGTAGCTTTCCTTCCTCTGATTGTAGCCAATGAGCACGAGTGTTTAGAGAGCCAATCGGGTGTCATCTTGTTTTGGCAATGAGCCAATCAGATCACAGTAGGATTCAGTTATTGATCTCATGTATTGAAGCTGAGGGAGGACATTTGTCAGTGTGTTGTGTGATGGCTATCAAGTTGGCTGGGTTTTTTTTGTGTTTTTTCATTGAGTGAGCTTGCAAAATGTAATAAAATTAAAGTCATGGTGCAAAGAGTTGACTAGTTGCCCAGAAAGCGATGTAAAATAGTATTATTAAGCGAACAAGGCTACAGTTATAAAGAAATGAGAAGAAAAATGGGTGGAAACTTAACCAAAGGTGGCATTTCTACTGTACACTTTTCCCAAAAAGTTTCCACCATTTTGGCCACTACTGTAACTTAACAACTACAGCGATTCACTTCACAACATGGCAGGAAAGATTGTTAAATGGGGCTTCACCGTTCAGAAGCTCTCAGAGGCCAAAAGATGTTAAATCAACAAACAAGTCACGAGAGGTCAAGAGGGAGAAAAAAGCTAATGTTCAGGAGCAAATCATTTCCAAAAGCACAGGACTATTTTAATTATTTCTTTATTTATCTTTCATTTATATACGTTTCTAGGCCGCCCATTCTTCCTCAAGGAAGGAGCTCTTTTCTTTTTTCATTTCTTTTTTTGAAGTTGTCCGGTCAGGATGCCAGCCTGAGAAAATTGAAAATAGGGTCTTGTGATCAAGAGATAGATCTCGATTGCATTTGCTTCGTTTTTAATTTTAAAAGAAGAATTACAAATAAACTGGATTTTCCTGAGCTGATAAAACTTCTCCGGTTGGAAACCAGATGAAAATACAAAAAACAAATTGTCGCACGTTGACTGAACGATGTAGATTATACACCTGCATTGACCTCCTTTTGATTACAGTAGTGGCCAGAATAGAATAGAATAGTTGGGAGGAACCTTGGAGGTCCTCTAGTCCAACCCCCTGCTCAGGCAGGAAACCCTATACCAGTGGTGGCGAACCTATGGCACGGGTGCCAGAGGTGGCACTCGGAGTCCTCTCTGTGGGTACACGCACCGTCTCCCCAGCCCCGCCTCCTCCCACGGCCCCCTCACCAGCAGCCCCCCCCCCGGAGAGTTGCCCCTGGGTGCGGCCCACATGAAGCAGCGGAGCCAAGGACATGGTAGCTGGGCAGCGGGGACAAGACTCCGCCCTTGCACCCCATTGCACACAGATGATGCTGCGGGGCACGGGCGGAGGGTATGGCTGCCGTGGCGCTGCTGGACTGCCTGGGTGATCTGTGGCGGGCCTTGGAGGTGGTGGGTGGCCCAGTGGGCAGGGCGAAGCGGGGACGTGGGTGGGGGGCAGTTTTGGGGCACTCGGTCTCTAAAAGATTCGCCATCACTGCCCTATACCATTTTAGAATAATAGAATAGAACAGAACAGAATTAATAATAGATAAGAATAGAATAGAATAGAAATAAGAAGAATAGAATAGAATAGAATAGAATAGTTGGAAGGAATCTTGGAGGTCATCTAGTCCAACCCCCTGCTCAGGCAGGAAACCCTATACCATTTCAGACAAATGGCTGTCCAGTTTCTTCTTAAAAACTTCCAGTGTTGGAGCATTCACAGCTTCTGGAGGCAGGTTGTTCCACTGGTTAATTGTTCTAACTGTCAGGAAGTTTCTCCTCAGTTCTAGGTTGCTTCTCTCCTGGATTAGTTTCCATCCGTTGCTTCTTGTCCTGCCTTCAGGCGCTTTGGAGAATAGCTTGGCTCCCTCTTCTTTGGGGCAGCCCCTGAGATACTGGAAGACTGCTATCATGTCCCCCCTTGTCCTTCTCTTCATTAAACTAGACCTACCCAATTCCATCAACCGTTCCTTATATGTTTTAGCCTCGAGTCCCCTAATCATCTTTGTTGCTCTTCTCTGCACTTTTTCTAGAGTCTCAACATCTTTTTACAGCATGCTGACCAAAACTGGATGCCGTATTCCAAGTGTGGCCTTACTAAGGCTTTGTAAAGTGGTATTAACACTTCACGTGATCTTGATTCTATCCCTCTGTCAATGCAGCCCAGCACTGTGTTGGCCTTTTTGGCAGCTGCAGCACACGGCTGGCTCCTATTTAAGTGATTGTCCGCTAGGACTCCAAGATCCCTCTCACAGTTACTACTATTGAGCAAGGTACCCCCTATACTATATCTGTGCATTTGGTTTTTCTTGCCTAAATGTAGAACCTTACTTTTTTCACCATTGAATTTCATTTTGTTAGAAAGCACCGTTGGGACAACCACGACCTGGAGGAGTGAGGATCTCCACAGACAAAATCCAATTGCTTACCAGTAAATGCGTCACCACTTTATCACTTGGGACTTTACGGTATGGGCAACCTCCTTCATCACAAAGTCTGCTCTCTTCAGAGTCCTGGGAATGAGAGAAGAGAAAAACAAGACAGTAGATTTAGGTCTGTCTTCCCTGAGTTGGCAGCCACTCAAAGTATTGGTCCACAGCTTCCGTCCTCTTTGACTAGCTGGCTACTTGGGGATAAGATCATTCAGTTTTAACACATCTGGAATGAGAGGTGGACGGATGATCTGGGCTAGTGTTGATGTACCTCAAAGTTTCTGGGCCATGCAATTTCTCGCTTTCCTCCAGGATACCAGCCGTGGGACCAGTGCTGGGCTCTCGTCAGTTGGATGCTGATAGAAAAAAGGATGCAGAATATCAAGAAGGATCTTTGGCACACCATGATGTGGTCTTCAGCCCCGCGATCTCTGCGGAATCTGGAAGGAAGGGGAAGAATGGAAATTTGTCATTTTTCTTGCCAAAAAATGGTTACTGTCAGCATTCGAGTCTCCACTCAGTAATATTAAGAGAAACACAATTATGGAGAGAATAGAATAGAAATAGAAATAATGAATAGAATAGAATAGAATAGAATAGAATAGAATAGAATAGAATAGAATAGAATAGAATAGAATAGAAGTATTAAAATCTATAAATAAATAGCTAAAAGAAAAAGAAAATAACATGCAGAGGAATATTTATACGGGATCCACCTCAATAGGTATTGTCCTTGGTGCTTTCTGAGCTTGGTGGTTTCCTTGCAGACATTTCATTACCCAACTAGGGAACGTCATCAGTGCAAGAAGGGAGTGTGGGAGGAGGAGGAGGAGGAGGAGGAGGAGGAGGAGGAAAATGACTGTGGGGCCCTTGGTGCTCTCTGAGCTTGGTGGTTTCCTTGCAGACGTTTCATTACCCAACTAGGGAACCTCATCAGTGCTAGAAGGGAGTGTGGGAGGAGGAGGAGGGAAGGAGAAGGAGGACAACTGTGGGGTCCTTAGTGCTCTCTGAGCTTGGTGGTTTCCTTGCAGACGTTTCATTACCCAACTAGGGAACCTCATCAGTGCTAGAAGGGAGTGTGGGAGGAGGAGGAGGAGGAGGAGGAAGAGGAGGAGGAGGAGGAAAAGGACTGTGGGGTCCTTGGTGCTCTCTGAGCTTGGTGGTTTCCTTGCAGACGTTTCATGACCCAACTAAGGAACCTCATCAGTGCTAGAAGGAGGGTTTTCTGCATTATCTATCTATTTCCTCTCCCTTTAATGTTCAGGAGGAAGATCTGGAGGCAGCAATGTGTACTGTGGGGGGGTGGGGTCCTGCTGCTTTCTGAGCTTGGTTGTTTTCTTGCACTAGCATTTATAATGTTCCCTAGTTTGGGCACTGAAATATCTGTAAGAAAATCACCAAGCTCAGAGAGTACCAAGGAATCAGTTTTCCTCCTCCTCCTCCTCCTCCTGGTTGGGGTATAAAAAAAGCATTTTAATTCAACTCAGGGAACTTTGCATCTTTGCAATCTTACATTGTCTGCAATTGCAATAAATATATGTGCCCATTTGAAAATCTAATTAAATAGAATACAATAGAATAGAATAGAATGCAGAATAGAATAGAATGCAGAATAGAATAGAATAGAATAGAATATAGAGAATAGAATATAAATAGAATAGAATGCAGAATAGAATAGAATATAGAGAATATAATAGAATAATAGAATAGAATAGAATGCAGAATAGAATAAAATAGAATAGAATATAGAGAATAGAATAGAATGCAGAATAGAATAGAATATAGAGAATAGAACAGAATAGAATAGAATAATAGAATAGAATAGACTGCAGAATAGAATAAAATAGATTAGAATATAGAGAATAGAATAGAATGCAGATAGAATAGAATAATAGAATAGAATAGAATAGAATGCAGAATAGAATAAATAGAATATAGAGAATAGAATAGAATGCAGAATAGAATAGAATAGAATAATAGAATAGAATAGAATGCAGAATAGAATAAATAGAATATAGAGAATAGAATAGAATGCAGAATAGAATAGAATAATAGAATAGAATAGAATGCAGAATAGAATAGAATAGAATACAGAGAATAGAATAGAATGCAGAATAGAATATAGAATAGAATAGAACAGAACAATGACTTTATTGACACTTTACATTAATCAGCATACATTAAAAGTGACATTTCATTGCCTACAGCTCTCAAAGGGTAACCACCTCCAATATACACTGCATAAACATGACAAAATGATGATGATGGTGATAATAATAATAATAATAATAATAATAATAATAATAATAATAATAATAATAATGATGATGATGCATATACTCACATACACACACACACATATAACTTCGTATCCCTCCCTTAATCCAAGTTGCTAAGAAGATGCGAATCTGAAGAGAAGCTTAGCAAAAAAAAAATCTGCTCACCTCCGATGGCTTTTTAGGTCCTCCTCCTTTGTGCTGAGATGTGATGGGTGCTCAAGCACTACGCTCTGGATACTTATAGTCCTTCCCATGCACTGGCCAAGTCATTGGTCACCCAATTTGATCTTTGCTGCCTCTTAGCTCAGTGGAAGTCTTTGAGCCTCCGGGATGCTTTGCTGACGCTGTGCAATGCTAAGACTCTTTCGCCAGTCTGCTTTTTTTGACCCTCTCGATCTTGGAACGACTTAATGAAAACATCCTTATAAAATATTTAGCCTCTGTTTCTCTCAGCTGGCCACTGGCCTAGACTGAGCTTGCAAGCTAAGCAAGATTGGCCGTGGGGAAAATTTGGATGGGACAATAGCAATAGCGCTTAGAGTAGACTTATATACCGCTTCACAGTGCTTTTACAGCCCTCTCTAAGTGGTTTACAGAGTCAGCATTTTGCCCTTGTAAGGTCCCTGGCCCTTACTTAAATTTGAGATACCATTAAAAGTCTAATCAGGCACCTCAAGCAGAGGCTTCTTGAGGAAATAGTGCTTTAATTGATCAAATAAAACAGCAAACAATCGGGAACGCTGGGAGAGTTACGTCCAGAAGTGCCACACCTTAGAAAGTTAGTAGCATTGCGTTATAAACTTTGTTAGCCCATGAAAATCAGACAACAGAGCCATTCCATCATAAGGAAGACATCAGTCATTCCTGTACACTCCCTTATTCCCTCCTCCAGTACATCCCATCTACGTACATGTTTTCCCACACTTGCATGAAATTTATCCTGGTCAGGATCGAACTGCTGGCAGTGGGCAGAGTCAGCCTGCAATACTGCATTCTCGCCACTGCGCCAGCACTGCTCTTGTTAGGGAATTCTACAATACAAGTCGTCCTGGACTTATAAGAGTTTGTTTAGTGACCGTTCAGAGTTACAACGGCACTGAAAAAAGTGAATCGTGACTGTTTTTCATGCTTACGACCGTTGTGGCATTCCCGGGGTCAAGCGATCCAACTTTGGACACTGGTAACTGATTCATATTTATGACGGTTTGCAGTGTCCTAGGGTCATGTGATCACTTTTGGTGACCTTCTGACAAGCAAAGTCAACGGGGGAGCCCAATTCACTTCACAACCGTGTTGCTAACTTAACAACTGCAGTGATTCACTTAACGGTGAGAAGAAAGGTGGTAAAATGGGGCAAAACTGTCTCGCTTAGCAACAGAAATTCCAGGCTCAGTTGCCATAAGTTGAGGACTACCTGTATTTTCTAGGTAGAAAGGGACCCCAGAAGAAGAGAATGGAAAAAACCAAACAAAAAAAAGAGACCGAGGTATTTCTGAACGCAAGTAACAGCAGTTGTTTAGGGCAGGGGTAGGCAACCTTGGCTCTTTTATGACTCGTGGACTTCAGCTCCCAGAATTCCTGAGCCACTACTGGGAGTTGAAGTCCACAAGTCATGAAGGGGCCATAATTCCCTCATGCTGGCTCAGGAATTCTGGGAGTTGAAATCCACGATTCATGAAGGGGCCATAGTTCCCCCATGCTGGCTCAGGAATTCTGGGAGTTGAAGTCCACGAGTCATAAAGTGGCCTAGGCCTAGGCCAGGGGTAGGCAACCTTGGCTCTTTTATGACTGGTGGACTTCAACTCCCAGAATTCCTGAGCCAGCATGGCTCAGCTTGCAAACCTCTCCCTTTCCCCTCAGCATGGTTGGCTCAGGAATTCTGGGAGTTGAAGTCCACGAGTCATAAAAGAGCCAAGGTTGCCTACCTCTGGCCTAGGCCTAGGCCGCTTTATGACTCGTGGACTTCAACTCCCAGAATTCCTGAGCCAGCATGGCTCAGCTTGGAAACCTCTCTCTTTCCCCTCAGCGTGGCTGGCTCAGGAATTCTGGGAGTTGAAGTCCACAAGTCATAAAAGAGCCAAGGTTGCCTACCCCTGGTTTAGGGTAACAGCAACAAACTAGAACTTCCTGACGTTTTAATTATGATCAAAAGAGAGGGGGGGGGAAGTCTCAAAACAGGAAGTGTTATTTACTCGTCATTCTTCTCTCCGTCCTCAATGGAAAACTTGCAAATCTAATTTTAAGCAAGGCCTCGGGCTAATTTTATCCCGGCGTGTCTCTTCTGAAATTGTGTATTTTAAAAAAAACAAAACACAGCTACCCAAACAACTGGTCCGTCAGAGGTCAGATGCCAAGACGCACGTCACGTCTCCTGTCTCACTGGCCATGGTCTCATCAGCCCACGATTTGATTGAGATGCTAAACAAACAACGGGCTGGATGGACAAGAGGCTGTTTCAGCTTGCAAAGGTAACCGTGGCGGCCAGACCCAATTCAGGGAACATGTTTTGTTTAGCGAAATTGGTTGCGGAAGCTTTTGTCACACAAAAATACAACACTGAAGCTCGGATGGCCTTGATGGTGCTGATGGATGACCTCTGGTGGGAACGGGATGGGGTGGCACATCCATCGATCCATCCGGGGTCTTCAGGAGAATCGGATGAGGTGGCCCATCCATCCAGCCGGCTTTCATGTGTAAAGTGGGACTAGAACTCGCCATCTCCTGGTGACTGGCCCAAAGTCACCCAGCCAGCTTTCATGCCTGAGGTGGGACTACCACTCGCCATCTCCTGGTGATTGGCCCAAAGTCACCCAGCTGGCTTTCATGGCTAAGGTGGGACTAGAACTCAGTCTCCTGGCAACTGGCCCAAAGTCACCCAGCCAGCTTTCATGCCTAAGGTGGGACTAGAACTCACTGTCTCCTGGTGACTGGCCCAAAGTCACCCAGCCGATTTTCATGGCTAAAATGGGACTAGAACTCATCATCTCCTGGTGACTGGCCCAAAGTTACCCAGCCAGCTTTCATGCCTAAGGTGGGACTACCACTCGCCATCTCCTGGCAACTGGCCCAAAGTCACCCAGCCGGCTTTCATGCCTAAGGTGGGACTAGAACTCGCCATCTCCTGGCGACTGGCCCAAAGTCACCCAGCCGGCTTTCACATGTAAGGTGGGACTAGAACTCACCATCTCCCGGTGATTGGCCCAAAGTCACCCAGCTGGCTTTCACGGCTAAGGTGGGACTAGAACTCCCCATCTCCGGGTGATTGGCCCAAAATCACCCAGCTGTCTTTCATGTGTAAGGTGGGACTAGAACTCGCCATCTCCCGGTGATTGGCCCAAAGTCACCCACTTGGCTTTCATGCCCAAGGCAGGACTAGAACTCCCCATCTCCTGGTGATTGGCCCATTCACCCAGCTGGCTTTCATGGCTAAGGTGGGACTAGAACTCACCATCTCCTGGCGACTGGCCCAAAGTCACCCAGCTGGCTTTCACGGCTAAGGTGGGACTAGAACTCCCCATCTCCGGGTGATTGGCCCAAAGTCACCCAGCTGTCTTTCATGTGTAAGGTGGGACTAGAACTCGCCATCTCCTGGTGATTGGCCCAAAGTCACCCACTTGGCTTTCATGCCCAAGGCAGGACTAGAACTCCCCATCTCCTGGTGATTGGCCCATTCACCCAGCTGCCTTTCATGTGTAAGGTGGGACTAGAACTCACTATCTCCGGGCAACTGGCCCAAAGTCACCCAGCTGGCTTCCAGATGTAAGGTGGGACGAGAACTCACCGTCTCCTGGCGACTGGCCCAAAGTCACCCACTTGGCTTTCATGCCTAAGACAGCACTAGAACTCACCATCTCCTGGCTTCTAGCCTGGTGCCTTTACCACTAGACGAAATTTGGCCTCCAAATATCCATCTAAACTGTACCTAGGACCTTGATTGTAAGTCTTCAAAGATGTGAAGATCTGCCAAGTAAGATGGACAATTTTGTCAGCTCTGTGTCCAGGCAGCAGGGCAATTGTTCCTTCCCAAGTGACCAGTGGTAACCAAACCAGCCCCAGGTGGAAACCACAGCTTGATAATGAAACATCTGTTGGGCTTCCAAATTCAAATTCATCCATTATCCACTTATTAAATCAGTGGTCTTCAAACTTGGCCACTTTAAGACTTGTGGACTTCAAATCCCAGAATTCCTCAGCCAGCCCTGAGGGCTGGCTGAGGAATTCTAGGAGTCGAAGTCCACAAGTCTTAAAGTGGCCAAGTTTGAAGACCACTGTATTAAATGAATGCCTTGATTGGAAGATGGAAATGAAAAAATGTCCTTAAGAACATCCAAGTGTAATCCAGGCTTTCTTCCCTCCCCACACAGGTGTGTTTTGAATCCTCCATCTAAAACAGGTCGTTCTCAACTTACTCGTTTAGTGACCGTTCAAAGTTACAACGGCACCGACAAAAAGTGGCTTAGGACCGTTGTTCCACACTTACAAACGTCGAAAGCATCCCCCACAGTCCCGGGATCAAAATTCGAACGCTTGGCAACTGGTTCGTATTTAGGACGGTCCCGGGATCCTGTGATTCTCGTTTTGCGGCCTTCTGACAAGCCACGTCCGTGGGGGAGCCAGCTTCACTACACAATTGTGTTGCCAATGAACACCTCCGCTGATTCGCTTGACAAGCAAGCACCAAGTGTGTCAAATGGGGCCGAGATGCACAAATGTCCCAGCTTGGTGATGGAAAGTGTGGGTTGACGATTACTTGCATGCCGTTGTTTGCAGGGTGGTAGAAGAAAAGAACCAGCCCAGTTAAAAAATAAAAAGAAAAGCATTTACTTGGTCAACAAAAATAAATACAAGATATTAAGACATTCGGAATGAGGCAGAGAAGAATTACAATTACAGAAGAGAAACGGGAGAGGGGACATCGCTTGCGTGGGCTGCCTTGGCATTTTCCTGGGGTGAGGGGTAGGGGTGGGGGACAAGAGACTGTTTTGGCACAAAGCTTGACCCCCCCTCTGGTTAAGGCAGCTATGATGCCCCCTCTAACTGCAAGCCCAACGAGAGAACAAAAGCCAGACGAACGTTGCTATCTATGAGCCTACCGACACCACAATCTTGTTTATATGTGTAGCTTTATGATGGAGAGATGCGTGCATATAGGGTAGCCAGGATGCCACTAATATGTTGCTCCAGCAAAGGAGAATATTTCTAGCTCAGGGTTGAAATGAGGAGTCCTTGGTGCTCTCTGAGCTGGGTGGCTTTCTTGCAGACGTTTCGTGACCCAACTAGGTAACATCATCAGTGCTAGAAGGGAGTGGGGTTTGCAGGTAGGAGGAGAAGGAGGACTGTAGGGTTCTTGATGCTCTCTGAGCTTGGTGGTTTTCTTGCAGACGTTTTATGACCCAACTAGGTAACATAATCAGTGCTAGAAGGGAGTGGGGTTTGCAGGGAGGAGGAGGAGGACGACGACTGCAGGGTCCTTGATGCTCTCTGAGCTGGGTGGCTTTCTTGCAGACGTTTCATGACCCAACTAGGTAACATCATCAGTGCTAGAAGGGAGTGGGGTTTGCAGAGAGGAGGAGGAGGAAGAGGAGGAATGTGGGGTCCTTGATGCTCTCTGAGCTAGGTTGTTTTCTTGCAGACGTTTCGTGACCCAACTAGGTAACATCATCAATGCTAGAAAGGAGTGGGATTTGCTCTCTTGGTAGCTCCTTAATGGAACTTGGTAGAGGGAACTACCAACTCAACCTAACAATCAACAGTCAACAACAGCTTCATCAACACTCCCATCAAGCCGCTTCTCCATATAAACAGACAGCAAACCCTGCTAGCCCTGAGGATGTTACCTAGTTGGGTCATGAAACGTCTGCAAGAAAAACCACCCAGCTCAGAGAGCACCCAGGACTCCTCATTTGCTCCGGCTTTCAGCCAGAGCGGAGTAAGCCTCTGCTGTTTTGAGATGTACCAACACGGAAGGGGAGGGGGGACTTCCTGTACCACGTCCCACGCCTCGTGAACTACGACGGATCATGAGAATCTTTTTTTTTTTTTACTGAGCCGGTTCTGTGTTCTGTTAAGATCAGCCCTGGTTCCCTAAACTGGCACGAACGTCCAGATGTTCCACTGCAGATGCTTTGGCTAGTTAAAGAGCGAGAGGGTCTAGGCCACAGGGGTAGTTAACCTTGGCTCTTTTATGACTCGTGAACTTCAATTCCCAGAATTCCTGAGCTGGCTCAGGAATTCTGGGAGTTGAAGTCCACGAGTCATAAAAGAGCCAAGGTTGACTACCCCTGGTCTAGGGTTTCCCAAATATGATCATCTCCGGCAGGGTTTTCTTCAACGTCTCCGATTCAGTTAAGGGTCTTCCCAAGGCTTAGCAAATCTCTCACATCTGGGCCACATCTGGAAGGCACGAAACCCAGGATGGAGGATAGGTGTCCTCATCACCCATGGTTAGCACCCAAGGACTGATTCTTCTCTCTGTGCTTGAAAGGCACCCAGCCCACATCGCAAATGCGGGGCTGGAAGAATCACACGGGGGGGCGGGGCGCTGAACCCAAAGAGGGGACTCAGTTTTGAGGGGGTCTTAGATGTCTCTCGGCACCCTTCTTTTGGGCGATTTTTTCCCCTTTCCTGCCTTGAAAAAACCGGGCGGGTGGAAGAAGGAAAAAGAAGAAGCAAACATCTCAATCCTGACAACTTCCAGGTGGGTGGACTTCAACTCCCAGAATTCTTCAGCCAGTACCTGTGGGTTTCCTGCTTGAGCAGGTGTTGGGACTAGAAGACCCTCAAGGTTCCTCCCAACTCTTGTTATTCTGTCTTCGACTCCCAGAATTCTCCATCCAGCATGTGTGGACCTCAACTCCCAGAATCCCCCAGACTGTGCCACTTGAGATGTACCAGCCCACAAGGGGGATTCCCTACACCAGGGGTAGGCAACCTTGGCTCTTTTATGACTCGTGGACTTCAACTCCCAGAATTCTTGAGCCAGCATGGGGGAAACTTTGGCTCCTTCATGACTTGTGGACTTCAACTCCCAGAATTCCTGAGCCAGCATGGGGAATTGTGGCCCCTTTATGACCTATGGACTTCAACTCCCAGAATTCCTGAGCCAGCATGGCTCAGCTTGGAAACCTCTCTTTCCCCTCAGCATGGCTGGCTCAGGAATTCTGGGAGTTGAAGTCCACGAGTCATAAAAGAGCCAAGGTTGCCTACCCCTGCCCTATACCAAGATCCCTCCATCCATGTTGCGTAATATCTTTCTTGGAGTTGGATGGACCATGAGAATCTCTTTTATACTTAACTACTTTTGTGATCCGGTTAAGATCAGTCCCTGGGAGTTCTGGGAATTGAAGTCCACCCGTCACAAATTGCCAGGGTTGAGAAATACTGGACT